TCTCTGACAAATAAATAAATAAAATCTTAAAAAAAAAAAAGAAAGAAAGAAAATGAAACAAGAGCGCTAAGGGTGCCTAGGTGGCTCAGTCGGTTAAGCCTCTGACTCTTAGTTTTGGGTCAGATCATGATCTCATGGGTCCTGGGATCAAGCCCTGGGCTCACACTCAGCACGGAGTCTGCTTGGGGATTCTCTCCCTCTGCCCCTCCCCACACTTGCATGCGCACTCTCTCTAAAAATAAATCAATCTTATTTTTTTAAGATTTTATGTATTTATTTGTCAGAGAGAGAGAGAGAGAGAGCACGCACAAGCAGGGGGAATGGGAGGCAGAGGGAGCAAGGCTCCCTGCTGAGCAAGGAGTCCGATGCAGGACTCAATCTCTGGACCCTGGAATCACGACCTGAGCTGAAAGCAGACATTTAACCGATTGAGCCAGCCAGGCATCTCAATAAATCAATCTTAAAAAAGGAAAGAAAGAAAGAGGAGTATCTGGGTGGCTCAGTTGGTTAAGCGTCTATCTTCAGCTCGGGTCATGATCCCAGGGTCTTGGGATTGAGCCCCATGTCGGGCCCAGTGGGGAGCCTGCTTCTTCCTCTACGTGCCCCTCCCCCCTGCTCATGCGCTCTTTCTCGCTCTCTCTTAAATGAATAAAAAATAAAATCTAAAAACAAACGTTTAGATGAATAAAAAGGAAGGAAAGAAGAAGGAAGGAAGGAAGAGCTCTAGACCTGTAGGCCCCATAGGCCTAAGCATTCCTGTCTGCCAGTGGGGGCAGTCTCTACTCCATCACAAGTAAGACCAAGGTCTGACACAGCTATGCAGAAAGATAATTTATTAATTTAACAAATATTTACTGAGCACCTGCTATGTATCAAGCACCAACCTGACCATTAGGGAGACATCAGAGAACAAGACCAATGAGGTTTCTGTCCTTTCAGAATTTGTAATACAACAGTAATAGGAGTGGGATAGGATCATAAATAAGACAACATCATAGTATTAAATGCTAGGCAGGAAATAAACTGTATAGTGAACAAAAAGGGCAGGAGATAACGGGTTGTTTGAGAGACACGTTAGAAAGGGGCAGGGCAGTGTCTCTGAGGATGGATGGTTGAGCTGAGGCCTGAAGGATAAAAAAATGCCAGCTACCGAGACTACAGGAGGGCAGACCAAGCAATGGGCAGCAAATGCAAAGTCTCCGAGACTAGAAAGAGTTCAGTATGTATGAGCTACCCTAGAGAGGAGACCTGAGTAGCTGGAGCATAGTGAGAGGGAACTCCAGGAGAGGAGGTCAGAGGGGTTGCCAGAGAGGTCCCTGCAGAGGAGGGTAAATGTTTAGATTTAATTTCAAGGGCAGGGGCGCCTGGGCGGCTCAGTGGGTTAAGCATCGGTCCCTTGAGCTCAGCTCAGGTCTTGATCTCAGGGTTGTGAATGTGAGCCCAGTGTTGGGGCCCAGCATGGAGCCTACTTAAAATAATAATAGTAACAATTTCAAGGGCAGTGGGAGCTACTGGAGGATTTTAAGGCAAGAAAATATCGTCTGGTATTTTTAAGAGACCACTCTGGCCACTGTGTAGGTACACAGTAGCTTTAGCACCTGGGTGTGTAGACAGTGAAGCCTGATACAGAAAAGATCGAGGTGAAACAGTAGGTGGGGAAATCTAGAGTCAAACACCTCAGAACATCCAGGTGGAGCAACTGAGTAGCAGTGGTCTGCAGACTTCAGCAAACAGAATCACCTGGAGCGCTAGTAAAAACAAACTTCTGGCCTCTGGACCCAGTTTCTGATTCAGGAGCACAGGGATGGGCTCAAGAATCTGCATTTTTAACAAGTTTCCAGACAACACTGCTGCTGGTCTGGGAACTACACTTTTGAGAACCACTGAGAAAGGCAATTGGGCACAGGAGCCCGGAGCTCTGGCGCTCAGGGGAGGCTCTAGGCTGGTCAGGTATATAACACCTGTTTAAAGTACATCATATATTTAAACGTGGGAATGGCTAGGCTCTCTCTGGGATTAAGAACAGAGAAGGGCAAAGGGCGCCTGGGTGGCTCAGTCGTTGGGCGTCTGTCTTCGGCTCAGGTCATGATCCCAGAGTCCTGGGATCGAGCCCCATATGGGGCTCCCTGCTCGGCGGGAAGCCTGCTTCTCCCTCTCCCACTCCCCCTGCTTGTGTTCCCTCTCTTGCTGTGTCTCTGTCAAAAAAAATAAATAAAATCTTAAAAAAAAAAACAAAACAGAGAAGGGCAAGCATCCAAGAACAGAGCCCTGAGGTTGCTACTATGTAAAGAGATCGGGAAGAAGAGCATGACTGAAAAAATACAGCTGGTTAGGTAGGAAGAAAGTCAGGAGAGTACAGTCACCAGGAAGCAGATCCATACGACCTCTCAACAGTAGGAAACTTTTGGGATCCCTTGCCAGTAGGGAACTGGATGGCTCAGTTGGTTAAGCGTCCAACTCCTGATTTCAGCTCAGGTCATGATCTCAGAGTCCTGAGACTGAGCCCTGCATCGGGCTCCATACTCAGTGGGGAGTTGCTTGAGGATTCTCACTCTCCCTCTGCCCCTCCCCCTTACACGCTTTCTCTAAAAATAAATAAACCTTCTTTTTAAGATTTTTTTATTTATTCATTCAAGATAGAGAAAACATGAGCAGGAGGAGAAGCAGAGGGAGGGGGAGAAGCAGGCTCCCCCCGAGCAGGGAGCGTGATGCGGGGCTCAATCCCAGGACCCTGGGATCATGACCTGAGCCGAAGGCAGACGCTTAACCATCTGAGCCACCCAGGTGCCCTAAATAAATCTTTTTTTAATAAAAAAAAATTTAAAAAGAAACAGTAGAGAACTTTCCCGGGCAAGAGTCAGGAAGGCATGCAGAAGAGGAGGCAAGAGAATTCAAAGCATGAGAAGATTCAGCATGCTTTTGCTAACTCTGACCTGTAAGGAGCCCAGGAGCAAGGGCAGGAGAGAGGGCCTCTAACAGCTAAATATGGCCCCTGGCTGATAAGTGCCAAGGATGTGGGGACCTCAGGTATAGAGCTCCAAGGATCTGGATTTATCAACATGAATGGGCTTCAGGTTCTTCCCAAGAGCCTCTATTAAGGCTGAGGCCTTAATTTTAGTCCAGTGAGACTGGTGTCAGATTTCTAACCTACAGAACTGATAATAAATAGGTGAGATCATAAATACCTGTGGCTCTAAACAGCTAGTTTTCTGGTAACCGACTGTGAAGATAAGAAACTAATACAGAAAAGAAAAAAGCATTCAAGGAGAGGTCAGCTTCATCAAATGCTGGCAAGAGTCCACTAATCTGAGGACAAAGAGGCGTCTTATGGCTTATGGCATTCAGTGCAGTGCTGGTGACATGGAGCAGGGACAAGTGGTATGGAAGTGGGTGAAAGAGAAAATGAAGGATGGGCATAAAATCGTTGCGAAAGCCTTCGAAGCAACTCTTGCGAAAAGTTTTTCTGTGAAGAGCAGGAAACGGGGCCACCTGTGAGACGTGGGACAAAGGGGGGCTTGTTTAAGATGTGACATTTTAGGACACATCTAGGCTGAAGAAACGACCCAGTAGTCAAGGCAAGATTGGTGTAGGAGAGAGGGGCGACCTCTCAGTCCTGGAGTAGGCAAGTGAGGACGGGCCCAGGGAACAAGCTGGAGGGGGCAGGATCAGGCCCATCCTTGCTTTGCAGCCCCATGAATAAGGAAAGGGTTAAGGTATAGGCAGGGAGACGTAGGGGGCCCCCGGCTGGGCTCTGAAACTATTCCTGGCAGGCAGAAGCGCTAAGCCAGGTGAACAAGAGATAAAGAAACAGACCACCTGGCCCTAAATGTTAGGAAGTAATTTCCTTAGGCGGCTACAGCGTAATCCTAGAAAATGACCACACCTCAAACAATTAGGTCACTGGCGTGTCATCAAGAGTCCATGCTCGAACCAAGATGGCACAGGAAACTCAAGGCCACAAGCTTCCCAGTCAGTTCTCCACGAAAGTCTGCCGCTAACAGCCCCCAGTGGCAACCCATCGGGGCGCCCTCTCACTCCAGAGAGCTTCTTTCCTTTCCGCTCTCACCTTCACCTAATCAACTTTGACCTCACTTCAACCCTTTTGTACCCACGAGATTCGGTCTTCCGCTCCGTGAGACAAGAGCCCCGCAACCCCGTAACAGCCAGGGCGCGGGTCCGGGTTCTGTGGGTTTAGGACGGGCAATGTGAGGACACGTCGCCTCCTTTTCTCATGAACTGGGCATTTGGGCTTTAAAGGCCTGGGTCTGAGCCTAAATGGCTCCGGTACCAGGAGGAGGACGAGGAAAAGTGGAAAAGGGGCGGATAACCCACTTCTGTGGGGCCTGACGGCTTTCGGAAGCGGACCGTTTCTAGAACCTCGTCCTCCCCAGCGCGCTCCCGCCACAGGTTTCCCCCCCCACCCCGCAAGCCCCTGCCCCCCGTCCCCCCCCCCCCCCCCGGGGGGCCCATGTCCCGCGCCATCCCACACGTCCCAGCCACGCGCCCCCTCTCGTTCCCCCCATTCCCCCCGTGAGCCCCGTCTTGCCACAGGCGAACCTTCCTTCACGTTCCCCGTCGCGCCTCCCGTCGTCCCCTCCACCTACCTCCTCATGATCCACGCGTCCCCCGCCAGGCGCTCCAGCTCGCCCCGCCACAAACCCTATCGCGCTCCGTGGGCCACCGCCGCATCTCCCATCATCCTCCGCGCCCCCACCCCGCTCCGTGCGTCCCCGTCACGTGCCCCGTCCAGCGGCGCGCTTCCCCGTCACGTGCCCCAACACGCGCCGTGAGTCCGCGCCACGTGCTCAGGCACGCCGCCCTAGGGCTCGGGGCGGTTGGTGGCGGTTGGCACCAAGCGATTGGAGCCTCCTCGCGGCCCCTGAGCCGAGCGCTGTGGTTGGCAGCGCGCGGCTGGGTATAAAGGGGTGGCTGGGCCACCGCCCGGGGGGGAGGGCGAGGGGGTTGAGGGCTCGCGCTGCCGCCGGGTAAGCCACGTGACGATGGGGGGGAGCACGCGGAACGTAAGAGTCCTGCAGGGGGACAATGCCTCCGGCCAGGTGAGAGAGCCTGCGCGCGGCGGAGGCACGGACGTGGGGTGCCGGGGTCGGGGTCCAGCCGGGGGCTCTGAGGTCTTGTGTCTCTTCCCGCAAGTCTCCGTACCAGAGGTTAAGTCGAAGGATGCTGGACATTTCCGGGGACCGGGGCGTGCTAAAGGACGTCATCCGAGAGGGGGCCGGAGAGCTGGTGACCCCGGATGCTTCCGTGCTAGGTACCATCTGCCTCCCAGCTGGCGATGCAAAAGTACCGGTCCATAAGCCTGTTCTGCACCTTACCTTGGGAGGTGGGGAGGGAAGGTTATGTTTAAAAAAAAGAAAAGGTAGAACTCGCTTGTTACAGTTCGCGTTCTTAAGGGAAACGAGGGAACCCATCTCCCCTTTGCGTGAGGCCACTACGAACAAGGGACATTGAGGCTCCCCAGCCAAATTCCTGAAACAGCCAAAGGGCAGGCGTCCAAACGTTGAGCAAAGATTTTTCCTATCCCTCTGGGTGGGAGACGGTTTGAACGCATCGAATTCCATCGTTTTTTTGTTTTCTAACAGTGAGTTGATATGGAGGTGTGCACCTTCTTGGTCTATTTTTCTTGTACTGTTTTGTTTGTTTGTCTTCTGTCCTAGTGAAATATTCTGGCTATCTGGAGCATATGGACAAGCCTTTTGATTCTAATTGGTTTAGGAAAACTCCCCGCCTGATGAAACTCGGAGAGGGTAAGTTGAGACGAGCAGCCAGGAAAGCAAGGATTCTTTGTGGAAATGCTTCAGAGCAGGGAGTCTTTGAGTTGGCTTTTCTGAGGCTGGGTTTTACTAAACCAGCCCTGTTCGCCTACACATTTCCCATTGAGGCGTAGATATTCGGGAGATGGTTTACCTGGTAAGGTTACCTTTGCGTTCTGAGAATTATGGGGCATGTTCATTTGTTAACAACGTTTATCGGGGGCTTAATATCCATAACGCAGGGTGAAAAGAGAAGATGTGCTCAGATGATTAGAACATCTCAGCTAGAGTAAGGAGATTGAGCACATTCACTGAATCGGATGAGGTCCTGGGAGGTGTAAGGAGTGTTGTGGGAGTGCTTAATGAAGGCACAATTGATTCCAGCCAGGAAGATCAAGAAAGGCTTTATGGAGGAGGGGGCATTTAAAATGAGCCTTGAAGTTTGAGTAAGATTTCAGTCAGGATTAGAAGCTGGGCCTGGGGTGAGGAAGCAGGAACTTCCTTGCAGGAAGAAGGAACTGTATGAACAGGGGTAGAGAAGCTAGATTGCTGCAGAGCCCCCAGAAGTTGGAGTTTGGGAATGGTGGTGGTAGTGGGAAAGACTGAAAAGTGACTTGGGACCGTAGTGCAGAAGGCTTGGAGTATGATGTGGAAAGATTTGGACTTCAAGGGGGAAGAAATTGATAACGTTGGATCGGGATGCTGGGCAAACTTCAAATTCTTTGTGTCTTCTTCCAGATATTACACTCTGGGGTATGGAGTTGGGCCTTCTGAGCATGAGGAGAGGAGAGCTGGCCAGGTTTCTGTTCACACCACCCTATGCCTATGGAACACTGGGCTGCCCTCCCTTGATCCCCCCAAATACCACTGTCCTGTTTGAGATTGAGCTGCTTGACTTCCTGGACTCTGCTGAGTCAGACAAGTTTTGGGCCCTTTCAGCTGTAAGTTCTGGAGCATAGATGTCCATACTTTAAAGAGAGAATGGGTTTGTGTTTTTGGTAATCACCCTTCTCTGATGGTGATCCTCTGCCCCACATTCCACCCCGGGGCTCCTGTGTGGTGGTAGCATCGGCCGTGGAGGGGTTCCCTTGTTTCCTGGTATGTATCCATCTTAGTAATGACTCCTGTGTATGGGCAGATGAACTAGGCCGAGGCCCAACCTTGGGTTTGTTCTGGACCAGCAGTTTGAAGTGATTTTTAGTCACCCTTTGCCTAGTTCTCCCTGCAAGACTGTGAGCATTTGCTTCTCAACATTAAGTTTGGTTTCTAGCAAGCATTGGTAGTGGTCGACTAGGGAGAACATTTGCTTTATTGTCCAACCTAAAATGCTTGAGAGCGAAGGAGATTATTAATTGGCTGAGATCCCAGGACATCAGGTGTAGACTGGGAAAGTCCCACGCCAGTGGGGGCACATGGCCTCTGTCCCTATAACTTTAAACATTCCCTTTCCTTGTAGCCTTTCACTTAACCCATGACACAGAACTAGGGCTTGTGATCTCTTTGGCAGCCATACACGCTCTCACTCATGCTGTCCCACACAGACTGTGTGTGTGGCCTTAGATGTCCACCTAGGTTTATATCTGGATATGATGTCTCCCCCACTAAACTGCCATCACCTCAAGTGAGGGCCCTTACCTTTTTCTCACCTTTCCACAAGACAGAGGTTCTTGCAAATGCCTGAGGCCCACCTGTGGTGTACTGATTGAGAATCTCTAGGCAGGGACAAGGCCAGGACATCCTGTTTGAAAAGAGGCTCTGTGGGTGATTGACACGTACCCAGGGTACAGCATTGTGGCCAGGAAGACCAGTAGGGCCCCGGGCAGACGAAGACCTGTTAAATGCTTGTTGGATAAATGGTGGTTGTGAGACCTGCTTTCCACGCTTGGCAAGTTCTATCAGTTTCTAATTCTTCGGGGAGCATCTCTGGAAGGACCAAAGGAGTAGACCACTTTTTGGCTCTAATGTATAAAATGGGACTGGTAATACCTTTAGCTTTTGCTGGGAGCCACCGAGATGACCTTTGCAGGGTCACCAAGCCCAGTGCTCGGCACACATACGGCACTAAACGAAAGTGCACGATCTGAAGGAGAAAAACTAATATTTATAACAGCACTTGGAAGGTGGTATTGTGGCTTTCAGTTTCCTTGCTGGGTGTCCTTGTCTTTGGTCCTCAGGAGCAACAAGATGAGTTTCCACTTCACAAGGTCCTAAAAGTGGCAGCTACTGAACGGGAGTTTGGCAACTACCTTTTCCGCCAAAATCGTTTCTGTGATGCCAAAGTGAGATATAAGAGGGTAAGGATGCTTTAGAAGTATAAATTTAGACCCTGAAGACATTCTTTTTTTTTTTTTTGAAAGTTCTTATATGTCCTTATTCTTCACATGCAGTCCTTAAGAAAAATCTCATTAAAAAAATCTTCCTGCCGGGGATAATGACCAGGAGAGGGGACATGGGATTTGTGTTTGTGTTCTGTGTTTGTGTCTGGATGTGGTTACATGGGTGTGTTCAGATTGTGAAAGTTTGTTGAAATGTTCACTTGTTTTTGTTTTTTTTTTAAAGATTTTATTTATTTGAGAGAGAATGAGAGATAGCACGAGAGGGAAGAGGGTCAGAGGGAGAAGCAGACTCCCTGCTGAGCAGGGAGCCCAATGCGGGACTCGATCCTGGGACTCCAGGATCATGACCTGAGCCGAAGGCAGTCGCTTAACCAACTGAGCCACCCAGGCGCCCTGGTCACTTGTTTTTGTAATTACCTGTATGTGTGTGTGTCTGTATGTATTTCAGTAAAAAGTCTTTAAAAGTTCTCATTCCAGGACTAGGTCCTCTACCAACTGATTTTCCATCCCATTTGCCATCTTCATTTCCTGTCTGACAGTGGAGATTTTTCTAGCTATAAGGTGACTCCATTCTCACCAGGCCTCTGATTGTGGTTTGGCTCCTTGCATGGGTTATGCTGACAGGAATTCACTGTTTTTGCTTTGTGACTCATTCAACAAATATGAGCGTTTTCTGTATGCCGAACTCTGCCGTAGGTTCTAGAGGCAAACAAGACAGAGTTTAGAGTCTAGGAGCATTCTGACTTTGTCTCATTTGTGAAGGGAGCCTCATTCATTCAGGATTTGCATTCAGCTGCAAGCAACAGATCTTGAAAAATTGTACTTTAAATGAGATTTAGGGGCACCTGGGTGGCTCAGTCGGTTAAGCATCCCCACTCTTGATTTCAGCTCAGGTCATGATCTCAGGGTCATGAGATCGAGCCCTGCGTCAGGCTGCGTGGGGTGTGGAACCTGCTTAAGATTCTCTCCCTCGGTCCCTCCCCCGTTGTCAAGCTCATGTTCTAAAATTAATTATTTAATGAAAATAAACCATAATTTAATTTTTTTTTCAAATGAGCAGGGAGGCAGTCCAAGGCTGGTACGTCAGTTCTATGAAGCCATAAGGGAATCCAGATTCTTTCTTTCTGCTCCACTACCCTTAAACATATCCTTTTTTACCCCAAGATGGTCCTGTAGCATCACATGGTCACCCGGGCAGGAAGAGGGAGGGGAGAGGAGTCTGATGTATTTGTGTTAAGAGCTTTCCAGAAGTATCCCCTCAGCCAATGACTTCCTTTTCTATATCACTGGCCAGACCCATATTCAGTGGATCCCAGTAGCTGTAGGAATCTGGGAAATGTAGTTTAATTTGTATACCACTGCTGTGAATGAACTCGAGGCTCTGCTAGAGGGAGAAAGAGATAGGATTTGGGGTAGGTGGCTCATGGTATTTGCCACGTTTGGTTTCTGTGCATATGCTCAAGAGACAGGAGAGTGCATGAGCGTGTTGTCCTTCGGAATGCTGATGGAATCAAGGTCCTAAACGTGAAGGGTACAGGCTTGGGCTCACGGTCGGCTCAAATCACAGATCACTTCAATGTTGTAAGGTTTCTTGAGACAGAGCCTGCTCACACGGGGGAAAAAAATTTTCCAATGAAGAAAGATCAGTTCAGCCCTTCCATCATTAGTCCTATTTCCCAGGCCCTCTTTAAGTTTGTTTGCAGCTTTTTCCGGCACTGTGAGTTGGTACTCGACATGCTTTAGTTGCTGTTTTTAATGTCTTCTACTTCTCGCTCTGGAAGGTGGATCTTCAGTTCTCACTGGTGTTTTCCCTCTGCTCTCTGGTGTTCTGGTTCAGAGGTCTTGTCCTGGGCTGCGCTGTGATTCTGTTTGTGGACTTCCTGTTGCATTTTTCCACTTACCCCTTGTGTTGTTAGAGTAAGTATATCCTTGCATTTCTAAAAATATTCTTGTAATTACCACACGCTTAGCAGTTGGCATAACGGAGTATAGAATTCTAGCATGCAGTCACCATTCGTCAGATTTTGAAGAATATTGTTTGATTCTAGCTTTTACAGTTACTGTCAGGAAGTCTGATGTCTTTTAGGTTCCTGTTCTTTTCTATGTGACCTTTTCTCTTTTTTCTCTGTAAAGACTTAAGGATCTTTTTTCATTTGGTGTTAATAAATTTTACAATGGGGGGGGTGGGTGTGTGTTTAAAAATTTGTTGTATTAAGCCCTGGGTGTATCACTTCATTCAAGAAACTTGTCTTCTGGGAAACTTTCTTGAGCTATTTCTGTGGTAATTTGCCCTTGTCTCTGTCTTCTCTTTTTGGGGACTCTTGGTTAATTGTTAGACCTCCTGGCTTGAGCTCCTACTTTACTTTTTTGTACTCTCAGGGTCCATCTTGTTGTCCTCTCTTACTCAGCCCCACTTGTCGGCCAGTTCTGATCGCTGGTTCTGTCCAATCCCGCGGCTCTGCGCTGCAGGGCCAGCCCCTCGGACCTGGCCCTCTGTTCTCCCATCATGACTCTGCCATCTGTTCTGACGTCTTGGGTTTGCTATCGATCCTCATTCTTTGTTCTTGTGGGATTGTGCTTTTCTAAATTCACATTTTAAAATGTACAGGTGAGTGTTTTTTTTTCATGTATTCGTAAGGTTGTGCATCTATCAGCACTGATTCCAGATCATTTCATCGCCTCAAAAAAAAAAAAACAAACCCTGTACCTGTTGGCAGTTACATTCCATTCCCCCAACACACCCTGGTAAGCCCCCGTCTTTCTGTTTCTATGGGTTTGCCTATTCCTGGACATTTTATGTAAACAGAATCATCAAACGTGTGATGCTTTGTGCCTGGCTTCTTTCAGTTGGCAAAATATTCTCAAGGTTCATCCATGTTGTAATGTGTATTCATACTCCATTCTGTCTTTAAATTTTTTATTTTTTAATTTGATAAAAATGTGCATAACCTAAAATTTGTCTTTTTAATTATTTTCAGCTATACCATCCAGTGGCATTTAAAATGCATTCAGTGTTATGCAACCATCATCACTACCCATTTCTGGAACTTTTTCCTCATCCCAAACATTGTTTAGCCATTAAACAGTAACTGCCAGTTCTCCCTGCTCCTCCAGCCCCAGTAATCTTTATTCCACTTCATGCCTCTAGGAATTTGTCTGCCATGGGTACTCCTATAAATGGAATTCTACAGTATTTGTCCTTTTGTGATTGGCTCCTTTCACTTAGCATGAGGTTTTCAAGGTTCATCCGTGTTGTAGCATATACCAAACTTCATTCATTTTAAGGCTGAGCAGTATATTGTGTGGCTCCTATTGTGTTTTGTTCATCAGTTGGTGGACATTTGGATTGTTTCCTCTTTTTGGCTACTGTGAATAACATTGCTTTTTGCATTGGTGTACAAGGTCTTGTGTAGACCCAGGTTTTCATTTTTCTTGGGTTTGTACCTAGGAGTGCAAGTGCTGGGTCATGTAGTAGCTCCCATGTTTAACTTTTTGAAATACTGCCAAACTGTTTTCCAAAGGGGCTGCAACATTTTACTTTCCCACCAACAATACGAGGGTTCCAATTACTCCACAGCCTCACCAACACTTATTTTCCATCTTTCAAATTATAGCCATCCTAGTGGGTATGCAGCAGTATCTCGTTAAGTTTGATTTGCATTTCCCAGTAACTAATGTGTTGATTGGCTATTTGTATGTCATCTTTGGAGAAATGTCAGTTCATAGTCTTTACCCATTTTTAATTGGGTATTCTATTTTTATAAAAGTTCTTTATATTGTCTGGATACTAGATTTTTTTAGAAAATACGATTTACAAATATCTTCTTCCATTCTGCGAGTTGTGTTTTCACATTCTTTTTCTTTTCAGGAATGTATGAATGTCTTTTTTTATTTAAAGATACAGAATTATCTGTAGGTACGGGCAATGACAGCAGTAAACCATTAATTATGTTATCAGCTTAAACCAGTAAGTAATGGGCTGTAGTGATTTTTCTTCATTTTCTTGATAATGTCCTTTGAAACACAGAAGTTTTTACTTTTGAAGTCCAGTTTATTCTTTTGGTGATGTGTGCTTTTCACGTAATAGCTAAGAAACCATTGTCTAGTTCAAAGTCATGAAGATTTACACCTAAAGTTTTCTTCTGAGAGTCTTACAGTTTAGCTTCTACGTTTAGGTCTATGATCCATTTTGTTAACTTGTGTTTATAGCTTGAAGTGGGAATCCAACCTCACTCTTTTGCGTGTTGACATCCAGTTTCTCAGCACCTTTTTTTGAAAAGACTGCCTTTTTCCTGTTGAATGGGGCTGGTTCCCTTGTTGAAAAATCAGTTGAGTACAGAAGTATAGGTTTATTTCTGGACTCTCAGTCTGCATTATCAATTCTATTCTGTTGATCTGTATGTGTCCTTATCTCTTACCACACTGGCTTTGCTACTGTAGCTTTGAAATTTGAAAGTGTGAGTCTTCCGTTTTCTCTTTTTAAATATTGTTTTGGCTACTTGGCATCCCTTGAATTTGCATGTGAATTTTCAGGTCAGCCTGACCATTTCTGCAAAAAAGGCTGTTGAAATTTTGGGAGTGGTTGCTTTGAATCTGTAGATCAATTGGGGAATATTGCCTTAACTGTATTAAATCCTTTGAGCCGTGAACATGGGATGTATTTCTATTTATTTATATCTTCTTTAATTTCTTCAGTATTTTGTAGTTTTCGATACACAATTCTTGCACTTTAAATTTATTGTGAATTTTCATGCTCTTGTAAATGGAGTGGTTTTCTTCGTTTTTGGATTGTTTATTGCTGGAATATAGACCTACAACTAATTCTCATATATTGATACTGTGTCTTGCAACTTGTTGAGCTCATTTTTTTTTACCTAATATTTTTTTTTTTTTGATTTTTCGGGCTTTCAGTAATAATATTACGTGGTTCCTCTTGACTACCTGTTTTCCTTCTCCACAGGCCTTGTTGCTTCTCCACCGACGATCAGCACCCCCTGAAGAGCAGCATCTGGTGGAAGCAGCCAAGCTTCTTGTTCTCCTTAACCTGTCCTTTACGTACCTGAAGCTGGAGCGACCTACCACAGCCTTGAGCTATGGAGAACAAGCTCTGATCATCGACCGGAAGAATGCTAAGGCCCTCTTCCGGTGTGGACAGGTGTGTTGGAGGCCAGGGACTCGAGAACGAATGCCCAAGAAAAGATTGCAGTGGAAAAATGCTGTCTTTCCTAACCAAGTGTGTTTTTAAAACTCTATCCTTTGACAGGCCTGTCTACTCATGACTGAGTATCAGAAGGCCCGAGATTTTCTAGTCCGAGCCCAGCAGGAACAGCCCTTCAATCATGACATCAATAATGAGCTGAAGAAACTGGCCAGGTGAGACCTGTTTGCAGGAGTACAAACCAAAGAAAGAGGCGAGTGCCACAGCTGGGGTTCTGGTCTCTCCACCTGGGTAAAGGACTGTTTGGGAATGTTGCCCAGCATCTGTTGGGAGGCAGCGCCCCCTAGAGCTGGCTTTATGAAGTGCTAAACCAACAGCTTCCTCCGGACTACAAGTCTGTTCCCCACTTCCTACCCCCAAAGTAAGCACCTTAAAACAGGTGGGCCAGTGTAATTTTTAAAAAAGGCCTTGTTCTTCAGCTACTCCTCCCTACTTGCCATCAACTGAAAACCAGTGTTCTTAACAGATGGCAGAAAGTTGTCTTACAGATCCTGTTTGGTCTGCAGTGGGTCTTTCAGGTCTGACTCCTATGCATAGGGTGACTTTCTTGTTACCCAAGTAAAATCTGTACCAGTGTTTCAGTAATACAACATTTTGTGATTATAGACGTCATTTTCAAAGTTTTCTAAAATGACTATATTGGCATATAAATAGTTGTCTGTAATTCCAACACCTCATAATCTATCCACTGTCTTTTGTTTTGTCCTTCTGTATTGCTCCTGTTGACATTAAACATTTACTCTAGATTGCTAGTTAAAGCTTTTGATGTTAAAAAAGTCTGAGGTGTGTGCACCTCTTATACTTAGATCCATTTGTTATATTTCAGGCCTTTTAGGACTGTCCAGCAATTTCCTTTGTGTTGGTTTTTTTTTTTTCCTGAAATGATTTTTTTTATTTTAAAACTATCTTATTTTTAAGTAATCTCTATACCCAATGTGGGGCTCAAACTTACAACCCCAGGATCAGAGGTGCATGCTCTACCAACTGAGCCAGCCAGGCATCCCCCTTTTCTGGTTTTTAAAAGTATCCTGTCGGTCCCACCTAGGGCACCAAAAATAATTTTTAAAAGAAGTATCCTGGATGTAGAAATTTTGGAATCTGACCATTCTTTAGCAAAGAAATCTGAAGATAATTTAGAAGCCACGGAGTATGAGGCCACTTGGCAAGACACTCAGCCTGGCAGCCCTTATAAAGTGGCTCCCAGCCTTTAAGGCTGCAGTCTTTTCAGGTTGTGGGCTTTCTGTCCCAAGGGCTTCTTGAACAGCCTCTGAGGTAGAGGTTTACTATTACTGTCCCCTCTGAGGGGAGTCTCCTGGCTCCCCTACCTCTCCAGCATGGCTTCCATCCCCTCCTGATTCACTTCAGGACCTGCTTGAATTTTCAGTATTTCTGGACCTGAGTGCAGTATTCCAGCCACCAGATGTCATCTCCTGCAAAGACAGACTTTGTCTGACTAGCGTATGTTTCTGTCTCCAGCTATTACAGGGACTACACAGAAAAAGAGAAAGAGATGTGTCACCGAATGTTCGCTCCTTATAACGGCGCTACAGTAGGAAAAAATTGAAGGTAATCAAGGGGCTGAAGCATAAAAGGCTTCAGGATTTTGTCCAATATGTGGAAGGGTGGTTGTTCTCCTTAGTCCACTATTGAATAGTGGCTATCTACAATTGAGCATAGGTGGGAGGAGTAGAAAGTTCCTTGTGGAGTGCACATACCACGGGCCTTCTCATGAAGATGATCAGGGAGAAGATTGCAAAGTGCACCCAGAACTGAGGTTAAATTGATAGGTTTAGGAGGTGTTAAGCTTTAAAATTAAAAACTTTTTCCATGTTTTATGTTAACCTCTCCCTCACAGGAGCTTGGAACATGAAGCTGTGAGTATAGTCATTAATGTGGTGGTTTATCTGGGCTTTGAAATGAAGAGGAATGCCTTTTTCTTCCTTTTTTTTTTTTAAACAGATACATTCTTTTTTTTAAGATTTTATTTATTTATTTGACAGAGAGAGACAGCGAGAGAGGGAATACAAGCAGGGGGAGTGGGAGAGGGAGAAGCAGGCTCCCCGCCGAGCAGGGAGCCCGATGCGGGGCTCGACCCCAGGACCCTGGGACCATGACCTGAGCCAAAGGCAGATGCTCAATGACTGAGCCACCCAGGCGCCCCAGGAATGCCTTTCTTAATCTGTTTTTCCTGAAAACCTCCAACGTCACTTTACAATGAACACATTGTTAACGAAGACAAAATCCAGATGTTGAGGGGCAGGGATGGGCCAGGACTCTTAGGTTCCCCTTACTGTTAGTCCCAGAGATTGGAAGGTGTTAGAACCACCGGGGATCAGAACCTAGCCTTCCAGCTGCAGCAGACGCCCTGTGGTCTAGCAGCCATAGGGTTAAGGTTTCCCCGGGAGTTCATGAGCGGACTCTCTAGTCTGGTTTACTATTACTTAAGAAAATTAATGGAAACAAAATCACCTGCCTTCAACACCTGCTTAGCTGGGTAGATAACTCTGCTCTCTTGAGAGAAGTTAAACAAGGAGCAACAAGAAAACAGCTGCCGAATGGGCTCATGGTAATAAATCTCCCCTTTGTTGCTACCTATATCTCTCTACAAAAGAGGTTGGAGAGAAGGCGGCAGTGAAAAGGCCTATTCATCCCAGACATTTTCACAAGTGATCTAAAAACTGCTTTTCTCGGCCCTGTCAAAAACAACCGGTCGGTATCAGAAGTCAACATTGCCTTTGTCATGGACTCTGACCCTGTGACCCTGGCCTTCAGGTCTTTCGGGGACATTGGAGTATTTGTAGGTTTTCTGAACGGAGACGTGAGCCAGAGGACTTCTCCTGTTTGGCAGCTGTTGGTGTGCAGCAGGAAGAGAGGTTTGCTGGCTTTTTACCAGACATTTTGGACTGTCATCTGGCATGTCCTGCCATTTAGCAAAGACCCAATTCTTCCAGGGTCCGTCCTGGAAACAGATCTGGGAAAATCCAGCAGGGCAGCTACTTCTTGTCGTCTCTACTCTCCCCTCCTCCTGCCCCCAGCTTTCTCTGTCTCCAAGGCATTTTGGACCTGATGAGTTTTTAGATGGTTTCCCAGATATTCCTATGTCTTGGGTGTTTTGTCAAATTACCGATGACTGTGTTTGGGTCTAAAATAGCCATTTTTATTCTACTCCCACTGCCGTTGAAATTGTAACATATTTTGGGTCTTTGGTGTTCTCTCTGCTACGCTCTTTTTCTGTTGTACTTGTGACTAGTCAGTTACTTAAAATGTCCCAAGTTTTCAGATTCTTTTTTGACAACTTAGTTTTGACAAAATTTGTTATTTTCCAAGATGTTAAATCCTAGTGATCTGTCTTCATACTGTCTTCCAAGAAGTTGAGCCTTCTGGTAGAATGAGTGTTCTCTCAATTATGTTCTCGAAGCTCCTGGTCATAACAGACTACATTTTTTGAGATCAGAGACCATGTCTTTTTCTTGTCTTTGTATTTTCTAGCATCTGAAACCATGCCCAGCACATGACGGGCACTCAGTAAATGTTGGTTGGATCAAGTGTAAAATAGCTGAAATGCTAGACCACCCTCTTTGAAACCATATCCTCCAGGCCGGCTCTCGTTATTGGCTGTCGGGACACTCGTCCTTGCCAGTGACAGAAACCTGTCTTCAGCTAGCATCAGCTAAAAAAGAGATTTGCTGAAGGGATTTGGGGAGCTCGCAGAATCAGAGTTACCGAACAGCCAGGCCTTGGGCAGGTGGAGACCTGCAGCTCTGAAGGTCTTGAGGACCTCATCCCGTCTCTGCTGCATGCTCTCCCACCATAAAGCGTGCCCGGGGGTCCCTTCCGCAGCCTTTCTGTTTGAGAGCGAACTCTTCCCTAGCCCATACCTCCCTCTTCTTCCTGTACCAGCCAGGGCTCCAGTTGGAAAAATCCCAAAGCAGGACTCTGACCTGTTTGGGTGTAGAGAGACCCATGAGTGGCACCCCTTCCTAGCACCACAGAGTAGGGCCGTGGGGAGCAATGACGAGTAAGAGGGCCGCTTGTCCCAGAGAGCAAGGGGAGGGAGAGGGGAAAACACTGCTGAGCCCAGCCTGAAGGAAGGGCAGCGTTGGGCACAGGTGTGAGCGGTGGGGAGAAGACCAGGAATTCAGAGCTGAGGTCCGTTGTGGATCACCCAGCATTTCAGTCCTCTTTGGAGTGTGGGCTGTGCTCTGTAGGTTTCAGAGGAGGGGAAAGATGTGATCTTTCCAGCTCATGCTAAGCAGGTTCTGAAGGGGGGCAGGGGGAGGGCACATTTGAAGGGCAGGTAGCAGGTTTTGGAGAGGCAATGACAGCCTGGAGGTAAACGCACGAGCAGGAATGGAAAGGAGGCAGGAGCATGAAGCCTCCCATCTGGAAAGGCTGGGAGGGAGCTTTCTGTCAGTAGGATTCTAGTTCTAAGTGGGAATTTGGCTGGAGGAGGAGGACCATAATGCCAAAGCCTCTATAGGATGACCTGTGGGCAGTGGAAGAAGGGACTAAAGCTGTTCTGGAGAAGAGAAGCTTTAAGGGAGCAGTGGGGGGGACCGAATTGGGGGCTCAGAGGTGATCCTGGTCCACACCAGGAGTGATGGGGAAAGCTTCCTGGAGAAGGCAGAACTTGAGCGAGTTTCCAAGGTTAACTGGTAGGTTTGGATAGACCGAGGGGACTCCCCGACCCGGCATCTTTTTTTTTTTTT